AACCTCCATCTCCCCAGTTCAAGCAAGTCTTCTGCCTCAGCCTCCTGAGTAGTTGGGATTACAGGCATGTGCCACCACGCCTGGCTAATTTTGTATTTTTAGTAGAGGTGGAGTTTCTCCATGTTGGTCAGGCTGGTCTTGAACTCCTGACCTCAGGTGATCCGCATGCCTTGTCCTCGCAAAGCACTGGGATTACAGCCATGAGCCACTGTACCAGGCTGACCCTTTCATTTTCTGCTCTGACATCACCTTCCATCCTACCTTTTCTCTCTTATAAGCTGGACATGGAGGGATCCAGCTAAAGAAACACTTTTCTGTGGGTTTTATGAGCTATGTTTGTGTGACCTTCAGTCACTTCTGTGTGTAATTAAGGTAATAACAGCTATCTTAGGTAGAAATGGCTTCCAGAAAATTTTGTAATAAAGTTTTTCTTAGACAGGACCCTGAAAACTGAATAAGCTTCAGGTCCCACAGAATCTGGGCCTGCCCCTCCTAAAGGGACTCTTACCTACTTACTAAGTGGGTACTATTCCTGTTTAGCTTTCAAGTTCACTCACGTTTCAGCCAGTTTTTTTCTGTCATCCCACAGCTTCTTGAGCCCAGTGTGATTATGGTAGAAACTCTGAAGCTAAAGAAACTTCCCATGTTTCAAGGCTAAGCTGTTCTATTAGCATTGCCAAGTCTTTACTATTTTCTAAACTTTTCTGAAAAATGGGTTCAGTTTTGGGAATTTGTAATGTGGCTGTCAGACCACCTACATATACAAATTATTTGACAACCCAAAGAGTGAGATTCTTCACTGTAATAAACAAAAACAAACATAAAAGATGGTGGATTCTGCTATTGAACTTTGTTGGAATCACCTCGTCTCTCTTGTCCTATTGGCAGTTTGTCTTCTTAACACTTAACTGACATATCTTATACCTTGCTCTCAAGGAAGATGCCATAAGACCTCCATTTCTTTGCCTTCCATAGAGTCTAACTCTAACTCTAGTTATTACTGGTAGGCAAGGCTTCCCTTTAATTGTGATTCGATTAAAGGGGATTTGTGCAATTGTAGAGAACATCTAAACTCCGATACTTCAAAGCGCTCATCTCCAAGGAGCTGTAGTTAGAAAATCATTCCAACATGGTAGGAGAGTTACAACGAGACAACTAACTGAACAGAGCTCCAGATGACTTTTAATAATCATAAGTGCTTAGACTTATGTCTATAAGCACCACATAAAATAGTGCATTTGTACAATGTTTATGCTTCATCAAATTATCCTATACTTTTGCCATCCAAATTGCTACCAAACTTTGCTTCTGCCAAACTTTGACATTTCAAGAGACAGCCTGAGTGGTTTTCTTACCTTTGGTGCTGAAGTCATCTACCAGCAGAATCTCCTTGATGAGGTGTGGAGGAGAGCGATTGAGGACGCTGTGAACAGATCTCAAGAGAGTGGACCACACTTCATCTACAAAGCACATGATGACACTGGTGGTTGGGAGGTTATTGTGAACTAGCTGCTCTGTACACCTGGGCCAGAACATAAGCAGAGCACAAGAGATCTGCTAAGGAGATCCACAAGATGGTTTTAAAAAGTCATAGAGTGTGATAGTGTGCATATACACACACTCAATCTGTCACCGATTTCTCTGGTCTATCATCTATTTATATGTACCAAAGATGATTTTATTATTTATCATGTGCCTTTTCTCAGGGAAGGGTACATACAAAATAAAAAAGCAAAAGAATAACTCGTAACAGTGGTTGTTGTAAAAGGACTACTGATGCAAGACATGAGAATGTCCCATGGAGGCATCACACTTCAGTGGAAAGGACATGGGCTTTGTAGGTGGTTAGGCTCTATTTTGAATCTCATGGCCAATATTTCTCAGGGTCTAACCATTAATGCCTGCTTTAACTTCTCTGTGCCTCAGCTTCCTCATCTACAGAATGAGGTAATAAATGGTTTTTATTTAATAGAGTTTTGTAGCCTAGTAATACTGTACATACCAAGCCTTGCAGGGTTCCTGGCACAGGAATTTATGAAATCGTAGTTATTGTTATTATTACTAGATTATATTATTACTAGAATACTAGAAGAGAGCATTCTGACTTATTTCATGTTTCCAAGTAGTTTATGATTGCCCTTACAACTGGCCATCTGCCAAAGTGCCACAGGATCTATTCTTTCTCCCATTCTGCTTGTGAATGTATTTATGGCATAATATATATGTGCCAAATAATTAAACTCTTTTCAGTCTCCCTGTCTGGGGTTCCCTTGCTAAGACTACTACAGAATAGCCACAGTTGAATAAACATTTAGCTGGCATAGGAATGCAATCCAAGATACAGTGGGAGTTGGTATTCAGGTGGGTTGCAACTGGCCTGGGTTTTTCCCATGCCCTGTGGAATACACTGCCTCACTGCTGGCATTCTTTCACCTCCTGCCTGTGACACTCTTCATAGGGAGTGCCCAGTGGTACCTCACAAAGCATATTTGCCAACTCTCTAACACAGCCACTGTCAGTAATGTGATCATTGATGATGATCATAAATATTATAAGCATTCTATATTATTTCAATGTAGACCTCAAATTACCAGCATCTCTTTCCCTTTCTATTGGTGACTAATCAAAATCATAGTAAGACTCATCCATAATTCTACTGTTAATAAATGGCAGAGCTGGGACTTGAACCCTGATCTAGTCTGGCTCCAAAAGTAACCATTAAGGAAGCCTTAGATTCACAAGAATAGAAGCAGCTGGCAGTAGATGTGGCACTTTGTGAGAGTTGGCACTTCTGCCAAATAACATGGTTACATTTTACTTATTCCATAAATAAAAAATAGGTAAGAGCAAAAACCATAGTAAAGCAAATCGCATTTGCATGGCACTCTAGTGTTGCCAAAGTGCTATTCTGTACATGATTGAATTCAGTCTTCATACCAACTGCTTGAGATACGTATTATTATACACTTCTTCAAATAGAGCAAACTAATCTTGGGAAGTTAAATGACTTACCCACATCATCCACCTAGACAGGATATATAAGGAAATGTGAACAAACATTGTTTTCACTTCACTGCTGGTTTTTCTGTAGGAGAATGGGTTTTGGAATTAGATATATATGTGCTCAAATATAAGTTTTTCTAATTATTTAGTTGGAACAGTTTTACTACTTTGATCGTCAATTTGCCAACTACAAAACAGAAATTAAACATCTACCTGTAAGATTACATTTAAATATTGTATAAAACTCATCTAATATATATCTGACACATAGCAAGTACTGAAGAAATGGTAGGCAAATCCAGTTATGCTTCCTAATTTCAATGGCTTCCTAAATTGTTATCATAATAATTGACAGAACCTTAGAAAAACATAAATATCCAATACTCAGCCCCAGAAAATCAATTTACAAGGTTTGCAGAGGGCCTGAGAATCCATTTCTTAAAAAAACAAACAAATAAAACAAAACACAAAGAAACCAACCAACGAACGAAAGAATGACTCATAAATCATTGGTGAATTTAAGAACTTGAGCTCTAAGTTAATTTATTCTTATTATTTGAGGCTAATATTAAAAAAATAAATTGAGGGCTGATAGGAGCATGTCCTAAATGTTCAAGTGACATAGAATTAAAATAGCATATTTTGATTAGGTATCTTGATGTAGTGATTAGGTATCTAATGCTAACTTAAACAGCAGACTGTGTAAACTTATATTAGTCTACACAAAGGACCCATGCATTGGCATTTCTGAATAATATGATAAGATGTTCCTGTCTTCACTTAAGAGCTTTATCAGTTTCCTTTGGCTGCCATAACAAATTCCTGAAAATTCTGCTTAACAGTTTCTTCCTCAATTTATCTCTTTTCTCTCACATTTTTACTCTAAACAGAAAGAAGATACCAGGCCGCACCCTCAACATTTTGCTTGGTACTCTCCTCAGCTAAACATTCGAGTTCATCATTGGCAAGGCCTGCTAATTTTCACCTGACTCTAGGATACAATTAAGCCAAGCTTGCTGCCACTATGTAACATGGGTCATCTTTCCTCCATTTCTCAGTCATGCGCTTTGTATTTCCTTCTGAACCTACACCGGAAGTACTTACAATGCTCATGTTTTTGCCAACATCTGCTCAAAACAGCGTATGTATTTTCAAAGAGGATTGATACAAGCTTTCTCCACTGTGCCCTCACTTCCTTCTGATCCCTCACCGACAGCATCCTTGATATCCATATTTCTACCAATAGCATCTTCAGGACATTCTAAGCTTTTTCTATGATGCTTCTCAGAATTTGTCCAGCCTCTACCCAGTAGCTAATTCCTTGGTGTATTAGGCCATTTTTGTGTTGCTACGAAGAAATCCATCTGGCCGTGTGCCTGTAATCCCAGCACTTTGGGAGGACAAAGTGGGTGGATCACCTGAGGTCAGGAGTTCAAGACCTGCCTGATCAACATGATGAAACTCTATTTCTACTAAAAATACAAAAATTAGCTGGGTGTGGTGGCAGGCACCTATAATCCCAGGTACTTGGGAGGCTGAAGCAGGTAGAATCACTTAAACTTGGAGGTGGAGGTTGTAGTGAGCTGAGATTGCCCCACTGCATTCCAGCCTGGATAACAGAGTGAGACTCCATCTCAAAAACGAAATAAAGAAAGAGAGAGAGAGAGAGAGAAAGAAAGAAAGAAAGAAAGAAAGAAAGAAAGAAAGAAAGAAAGAAAGAAAAAAAAAATTCTTGAGACTGGCTAATTTATAAAGAAAAGAGATTTAATTGGCTCCCGGTTCTTCAGGCTGCACAGGAAGCATGGCACTGGTATCTGCTCAGCTCCTGAGAGGCCTCAGGGAGCTTTTACCCATGGCAGAAGACACAGTGGGATCAGGCATGTCACGTGACAGAGCACGCAAGAGAGACAATAAGGTGAGGTCCCAGACCTCTTTAAACAACAAATTTTAGGTGAATCAAATACTTGGTTTTAGAACAGAATTCAAACACCAAGATGTCAGCAGGGCATCCCTCCCTCCAGAGGCTCCAGTGGAGATTCTGTTCCTTGCCTCTTCCAGCTTCTGCTGGCAATCCTTGCTTGTTGAGCCACTCGAATCTCTCTCTCTGCCTTCATGTCACTTACGCAAACTTACTGAGGGAGACCTCACTCATCACCAAGGGGATGACACTAATTCGTTCATTAAGGAACTGCCTCCGTGATCCAATATCTCCCACCAAGTCTCACCTCCAACATTGGAGGTCACATTTCAACATGAGATTTGAAGGGGACAAACATCCATACCATATCACTTGGCTATTCCTTTGATGATACTTCCGTATTTTTAGGTATTTGTTATAGCAGCACCTCACTTCCTGATACCAAAATCTATATTAATTTCTTCTGACTGCCATGACAAATCACCACAAACTTGGTAACATATTCTGTCACATTTCTGGGGGCCAGAATTCTAAAACCAAGATGTCAACAGGGGCTCCCTCCCTCCAGAGGCTCCAGCAGAGATTCTGTTCCTTGCCCCTTACAGCTTCTGCTGGCAATCCTTGCTTGTTGCAACCCTTGAATCTCTCTCTCTCTCTATGTTAACATCACTTTCTCCTCTGTGTCTCTCTGGGTGAAAACTCTGCCTGACTTTGTTTTATACAGATACATGTGATTTAGGGCATTTGGGGCCTATCTGGGTAATTCAGGGTAAATATCTCCTCTCAAGATCCTTCATCACATCTTTTCCTCAGAAGGTAATATTCACTCTTTTGTCAGGTTAGGTAATAGTCACAGGTTCTGAGAGTTAGGAAGTAAATATAGTTTTGGAGGACCATGTCTTTTTGCCTGCCACAAGAGCTTAATGAGTTAAAGCAAGAAATATGTTGTTTTTGTGAAAAAAATTTAAAATGGCTTCCCTACCCCTCAACAAAAGGTAGTCTTATTTTGAATTTATGGAATTGTTAGTCATATTGTTTTTTCCCCTATATTTGAAGCTTCTTTGAAGTTTTAGGAATTTGCACATTGAAGTCCATGAAAGTGTTAATTGGTGATACCAAATTATGAACTATAATATTGAAGCTCAATTTTAGAAAAGAAAGATTATTAGAAAAAAGAAGAAAGAATATACATTGAGGGATTTCCAAGAAGCGCATAAAAATCAGTTTATTTGGTTGCATAATTACCAACAATTCCAACAATTAAAGGACAGTTTTGGAACTGGACAAACTTTAAACTCTGAAATGTTTTTCATAAGGCAAAACAGGAAACATCTCCAAAATAAGACTTTAATTTTCAGAATCTCTTGTGGCAAACATTAAAGACCAGAGTGATGAGACCGAAGTTTCCCAATGAGGGAATGGGAGGGACTAGAGTACAATGAACTACGAAGTAAAAGGTAATGAGACACCATTTCATACCGGTTGGCATGGCAATTATTAAAAAGTCAAAAATCAACAGATGCTGGCAAGGCTGTGGAGACAAGAGAATGCTTATACATTTCCATACTGTTGGTAGGAATGTAGTTCCTACCAATTAGTTT